TGAGGCACAGAGATATTAAGGTAAATTTGCTCAAGAAATCCATACACTTTGGCTCTATTTCAAACATTAATTTTTAGGTAACATTCAGAGATTCCAGTTGGTGCTGAGCTCTGGGGAGGAGGCACAGAGGACATATAAAACAAAATTGCACTTTGTTCTGTCAAGCTCATTAATGTGGTTACGTATTTTTATTGGTAGCCTCTTACTATAGTGTGCTGAAACAACAATACTCTGTTAATTTCTTTTTATTTGCATGAATAACACAGTATCACTCAAATGCCTGGCCTTAGGAAATATAACATCACTGAATACTGAACCCAGAAATGGAGCAGATGCACAGAGACAAATAGCCCTAGTTGTGAAAGCTATGCTCTGGGGACACACACACACACACACACACACACACACACACACACACACACACACACACAAAACAGGGAGAAGGGGGGAAAGGACACCTACTAGGCAAATATGGCAGTCCATTCCAACAATACCTGCTTCTGTTTCTTTGGCCGGAATTATGTCTTCTGTTATATATGGTCTACCCATCTGGAAGAAAGACTGAGAATGTAGTATTTTTAGTTGGGCACAGTGACACCTTCAACTTCTAAGGAAGAAGAGGAAAATGATATTTGGTAGGCAATAGTAGGTTTCTGAAATTTAACATATTCAAACCATACTTTGGATAGGAAACACTTCATTGTTTTTTGTTGTAACTGTATTTTAGGTAGGTTATAAGTTAATACTAAAATCTTTAAAATTGATCTTTTTGGTTGTTAGTAATAATATTCAGAATGTTTATGTATAAAGTGGAGGGCATTGAGCACATGGACTTGGTAGTTCTGATGATTCACTTTAGCAAGTTGTGTCTAACATAACTCTGAACACTCAGTGTATCTATATTTCTTTTTTTTGTGGTGACGGGGTGGGGGAGCAGGATTTATTGAGAGGACAGAAAAGCTCCCACACTGGGAGGGGACCCTAGGGGTTTGCTCCGTGTATCTATTTTTCAGATGAAGACATGGAAGCTCTAAGAGGTTGAGTTACTTGTTCAAGGTCACATCACTAATTGTCAGAGCCAAGGCTGAGCCAAAGCCTGTGCTTTTTCCACTCTGCTACACTGCTGCTTTGCTTTTTAGATGCCCTGTACTTTAAGCAGGATCTTAGAACCAGGTTGTTAATATATTGATTTTTTTCCCTATTTCATTAATGTATCCTTGTTGTTTCTCTTCATCTTTGTGTTCTCACTGTTATTTTTTAGCTTTTAAATTGGTGGCCTAATGAATAAAAAGAAATGTAAATACATCCCTAAATACTAGTTCTGCTGGATTTAATAAGTTTTATTATTTTCATTGTCATTTATTTCTGAATTTTTTATTTTTTATTTTCACTGTTATTCAGACCTAAATATTTCAAATTCATGGGCTGTTTAAGTAATACTAAAGCTAAATATATGACTTTTAAGTTTTTAAAAAAGTAATTGATTCCTAATGAAATACATTGTAGCATAGACCATAATCTACATAATATTCATCTTTGAAATTTGTTGCTACTTCCATAGTGATATCATATATAGATACATTTTATAAATTTATGCTTCAAGGGATGTTTCATATGTATTAGATTCAGATTTCAGTATAGATCTGTTAGACCAAGCTTGGCTGAAATATTAATCTTCAAAATGAAACGCAAACAAAGGCTGAGTTAATCTTTTACATTTTATCTTAAAGTTCCAAGTTTGAATATGTCAGGTAGTCTGGTGAATGGGATATCAGAAACCTGTGCTTCATCATTTATCTCATATTTAAGTTTATATTACTGAAGAGAACATAAAATAATTGATAACTGTAGAGCAGATCTAGGAAGAAACTTGATTTTCAGATTAGATTGTAATAGACATTGCATAGCCAGAGTGGGAAAGCAAAAGTGTGGTTGTGGTTCAGGTCTGACTTTAATTTTTAAATGTGTCTTCTTTGAAAAATCACAAACTTTGTGTTTTGTTGGAAAGTAAAAACACTTTGTTTTTCTTCCACAAAATTTTACGTACAAGATAGTCATTAGAAGCCGGCATGGTAGCTCACGCCTATAATCCCAGTACTTTGGGAGGCCAAAGCCAGAGAATTGCTTGAGCCTAGGGGTTCAAGACGAGCATGGGTAACTTGATGAGACCTCATCTCTACAATAAATCAAAAAATTAGCCGAGAATGGTGGCACACGCCTGTAATTCCAGCTACTTGGAAGGCTGAGGTGGAAGGATTGCCTGAGCCCAGCAGGTTGAGGCTGCAGTGACCATGGGCATGCCACTGCACTCCAGCCTGGGTGATAGAGTGAGACTCCAACTCAAAAAAATTTAAAAAAAGTCAGTAGAAGCTCCCATTTCTTAAAGCTCCAATTATTTATGATCTTTTCAAATTTAAATTTTGTTTTATCCTTCCCTTTCAATGACTTGTTAAGGTTTTTTGTTGTTGTTTTTTGTTTTTGAGTCAGGGTCTCACTCTGTTACCCAGACTGGAGTGCAGTGGCACAATCGCAGCTCACTGCAGTCTCAAACTCCTGGGTTCAGGCCACCTCCTGCCTCAGCCTCCCAAGTAGCTGGGATTACAGGTGTGTGCCACCATGCCCAGCTAGTTTTTTTGTTTTTTGTAGAGACAGGGTCTCAATATATTGTTCAGACTGGTCTCAAACTTCTGGGCTCAAGCAGTCCTTCTATCTTGGCCTCCCAAAGTGTTGGAATTACAGGCATGAACCATTGCACCCACCCTTAAAGTTTTAATTTTAAAGTAAGAGAAAAGTAGAAATAGAACAAAGAACTCTGAAATACCCTTCATTCGACTTAACTAATTGTAAATATTTTGCCATACCTGCTTTATTATTCTTGCTTTCTCTATATATTTGGATCATTTTTTTCATCATTTGACAGTAAATTGCTGCCATTATATCCTTGCACTTCTATTTTAGTGTAATTTTTTTTTTTTTTTTTAAGAAAAAGAGGGCTGGGCTCGGTGGCTCAGCCTGTAATCCCAGCACTTTGGGAGGCCAAGGCGAGTGGATTGCCTGAGCCCGTGGGTTTGAGACCTGCCTGGGCAACTTGGGAAGACCTCATCTCTACAATAAATCAAAAATTAGCTGGGCATGGTAGCGCATGCCTGTAGTTCCAGCTGCTTAGAAGGCTGAGGCGGAAGGATCACAGGAGCCCAGCAGGGCCAAGCTGCAGTGGCTGGGAGCATGCCACTGCCCTCCAGCCTGGGCGACAGAGTGAGACTCCAACTCAAAAAAAAAAAAAGAAAGAAAAAGAGCATTCACTTATAGAAAACCCCACAGTTCGTTAATCAAAATCAGGAAAGGTAACATTCCAGGATCATGCATTGAATTTGGTTTTTTTTTTTTCTTTTCTTTTTTGATGTGGGATCTCACTCTGTTGCCCAGGCTGAAGTGCAGTGGTGCAATCATGGCTCACCATATCCTCAAACTCCTGGGCTCAGGCAACACTTCCACCTCAGCTGCCTGAGTAGCTGGGACTACAGGTGCACACCACCATGCCTGGCTAATTTATTTTATTTTATTTTTTGTAGAATTGAGATCTCACTATGTTGCCCAGGCTAGTCTCTAACTCCTGGCCTCAAGTGGTCCTCCCACATTGGCCTCCCAAAGTACTGGGATTACAGGCATGAGCCACTGCACCTGGCCTGAATTTGGTTTTCACGTGTTTTTAGTCTTTTTAAATCTGGAGTGTTTCTCAGCCTTTCTTTGCCTTTCATGACGTTAATGTTTTTGAAGAGTTCAGATGGTGATTTTGGACTGTCCCTCAATTTGGATTTCTCTGATATTTCCTCTTGATTAGATTTGAATTTTGCCTTTTGGGCAGAAATAGCTCAGAAGTTATATTGTATTCATCTCAGTGTACTTGAAGAGACAAGTGTTGGTTTGCCTCATTATTAGCAACTTAGATCACTTGGTGGAAGTGGTTTATGCCAGGTTTCTTCACTGGAAAATGTGAATTAATAGGTATTTTATAGGGAGATATTTAAAGGCTGTTTTTTGCCACACTTTCACTGACTAGTGATTCTTGAGTAGTGATTCTTTCCTTATCAATTATTATGATAGTTACATAATGGAGGTTTTACTAATAACTGTATCATTCATTTGTCTTTATTAGTTGACTTTCTAGTACAAAGAAGAGCTTTCTCTTCTCCCCTGTTATCCCCAGTAATCTTGGATTATTTTTTTAGTCAATGGGTTTTTTTGGGTTTTTTTGAGTTGGAGTCTCACTCTGTCACCCAGACTGGAGTCCAGTGGCCGCTCCCGGCCACCACAGCCTCAACCTGCTGGGCTCCGGCGATCCTTCCGCCTCAGCCTTCCAAGTAGCTGGAACTACAGGTGTGTGCTACCACACCCAGCTAATTTTTTGATTATTTTAGAGGTGAGGGCTCACCAAGTTGCCCGGGCGGGTCTTGAACCTGTGGGTTCAGGCAGTCCACTCACTTCAGCCTCCCAAAGTCACGAGATTATAGACTGAGCCACCAAGCCTGGCTAGTCAATGGGTTTTTAATCTGCTACTGTCATTATATACTCTGGTGCTCAGTTGTCCCTAATGCCTAGTTGTAGGTCCTGTAAGCTAGTGCCTATCTCCTTTTGATGCTGTCACCATTTTTTGAGTCCTTTCTCACTTGAGGTTCAATCAGAAGTTTTAGGTTTGTCTTGTACTAGAATCAGCCATTTCTCCAAGAAGCCCTGGTGTTTCTAAAGCTACATAGAATGATACTGTTTCAAAGCCTAGACTCCATCATTTGTGAGCTGAGTTGGTCAAATGACTTAACCTCTCTGTGTCCCAGTTTTTATCTGGAAAATGGGGATTAAAATGGTACATATCTCAAAGTGTTATTGTGAGAATTAGTTTAGATAATTCACTTAGAGAACAGTGCATGTCACATAGTAAATGTGACATAAGTGTTTCCTATTATTATTACTACATTACTATTCCCTCTTTTTTTCCTTTAACAGGTTGTTCTTTTAAAGAATTATCGAAGACGAAGTTTTTTTGGTTTTACTTTTTGTTTGTTTTTTAATGGCTTTACAGAATCTTAAATAGAATACAGTTTGACATGACGGCAAAAAATGTAAGTATTTGCAAATGTTTCAATGTGTTTTTCAAAGTGAGCTGTTTATTTTTCCTACATATTTTCTCATCATTCTGGTTACTCAAATTTAGTTTCCTCGTATGGATTTATAGTAGTTTTTGTTTATACAGAGTATGAGATAAACTTTCATGCTGTTAAATACAGTATTCTAATGAACATGGAACATTCTTGTAAATGGATGCCAAGTTGCTACTTCTCAACAGCTGCAATTGCTATCTCCAGAAAGCTTCCCACCCCTCTTTGGGTTTGGGTACTTGAATACATTTTCTTTGGTACTTACTGGAGGGTTATTTGGCCTTATTGATTGAGCAAATCACTGTATCCTTTGGCCTAATTTTTCCTTTTGGACATACTTGGGGAAATGTGTATACTCAGATGTTGTTCAAAAGAAGCTTGCTATCTTCCAGATGGTTCCTGAAGGAACATTAGATTTTAGATGTTTGGAGAGGTTACTGAATTTCTTTCCTCTCTTTGAGGCTATCATTTCTGAATCCCCCTCCCTTCAAGTTACATTCTCATTGTCATCCTGTATTAATGATTTTGTTCCCAGTTATGGTATAGAATTATGCCATAAAATAAATAGTATGCCATAAGATGAATAGGGAAATAATTTATTATTTCTTTACTGTTCCCATATTATTACATAAAAATCTTTGGGAATTAAGCATAAAAGGAGGTTATTATTATAAAGGTACAGATTGTCTCAAGGAATTCAAGAGTGGGGAACTTAGTGGGCCCTCAGAGAGGTTCAGGTCCTGAAGCTGGAACTCCACCAGGAGCTGAAGCAGTGCTTGGTTTCCGTCTCTCATCTCTCTGCTTGTTACTATGCATCTGCTTCATTTTTCCCTCTCTGCGAATCATCATCCTCAGTTTTCCAGCCAGCATGGGAGGGAGGCAGCCTGACACATCCTGCCTGTGTCAGCTCCAGTTTCAGACCCCTTGGGAAGGACCTCTGGCACAGCTTAAGTCTGACGTTCACTGGTTTGGTTCATTGTGACCAGAAGAAGCAAGTATCATGTTGTGCAAAATGGCTGCTGGGGACCAGCACAGTGTGTGGGGAGAGATGTTAAAGGGTTCTTGTGAGTCAGACAAATAGGCCCAAATATTGCCCATTATACAGCTAAAACATAGCGTCCACAAACAGGCCCTTACGACATTATCTCTGTTTTCTTATTTGGAGTTACTATTCAGAACTTTGCTTTCAATGTGCATTAGTAGCTATAAGCAGATACAGATTTTGCTTCATTATCATTTAGGGACAGTCATCAGGATGTATTGAGTCATTAGGATTATAGAAACAGGAAAGAAGACAAGAGATGTCTCAGTATTTGGCTTGTGCAACTGGATAAATGACTGTGCTATTAAATGAGAAGAGGAACTTCTGGGGAGGTATAGGATTTTGTGATCAACTTAAAAACTCTGTTTTGGACATAATAAAGTTGAGGAACCTATAAACATCCTAGTAGAGATACTGGCTCGGCAGTATGATTAGAGACTCTGGAGCTCAGGGGAAAGATGAGGGATGGAGGTAGAAATTTAGGAGCCGTTTCCTATGAAAAGTATTTTAAAGCAGTGGGACTACATGAGATTATAGTGTATGCATGGATAGAGAATATATTTATGAGGCCCAAGGTCTGAGCACAGAGGTTCTTCAGCATAAAGATGGACAGAGAGAAGCAGCAAAGGAGACTCAATGGCTAGAAAGACAGAAGAAAGGAATTGTCTTGATGATCTGGAAACAAAGTGAAGGAAGTGCTTCAAGGAAGGAGTGTTCAATTGTTTTGCATGATGCTGAGACATGGAAGAGATTGCCTTCTTGTGGAGACATTATTAAACATGTCATGAAAACAGTTTTGTTTTTTTTTTTTGTGAAGAGTTACTTTTGCCTTATCTATGCCATACTAGGTCTCTGAATGGTGGCAGGTAATAGAAACCCTACGCAAAACAGTCAGGAGTGGTGGCTCATGCGTGTAATCCCAGCACTTTGGGAGTGCGAGGCGGGAGGATTGTTTGAGCCCAGGAGATTGAGACCAGCCTGGGTAATATAATGAGACCCGTCTCTACAAAAAATCAGAAAGTTAGCCAGATATGGTGGCATGCACCTGTAGCCCCAGCTACTTGGAAGGCTAAGGTGGGAGGATCACTTGAGTCCAGGAGGTTGAGGCTGCAGTGACCCATGATCGTGCCACTGTACTCCAGCCTGGGTGACAGAATGAGACCCTGACTTATAATAAATACATACATACATACATACACAAACTGTAATACTTATTATAGAAAATACAGTAAAGAAAAGAAAAAATAGCCAGCCTAGGGATTATCAGGAAAATTTTGTCTAGGAAGACATCTGGTATATATACAAATATGTATATATAGCAACCGAAATATATGGACGTTATATATATATTTTAAGAAAAATGAAGTCATACTGTTTAGCTTAATTTATGTGATGACTGTCTTTTCTTGATATCCCTGTAACATCATTTTAAGTAGTTATTGTATGTTACCTATTATACAGACATTATACCAGTTTTCTAACCTTGACGATTAAGTTACTTCCATTTTTTTTCCATTTTTGAACATACTTGTTTTTTTTGCTCACTCATCATGTTACTTCCATGAGGCAAGGTCTTACGAAACTACTGAGCCAAAGTGTGTATGATTTTTTTTGGGAGCATTTGATTCATACTGTTAAATTGCATTTTAGAAAGATTATATAGATGTATATACATAATAGTGGTGTATGAGACTGCCATTTCTTGTTAATCTTTGCCAGTCTAATCAGCAAAAAAAAAAAAAAGTGCAGTCTATTACATTTTCTGATTACTAGGTAGATTAAGCTAGCATTGTGTATGTTTGTCAGTCATTTGTATTTCTCTGTACATGGTTTATGTCAGGGTTGAAGTGTTGGAAGCCATTGCCATTTGAATAAAAACCCACACTTGAATATTACTTTGCCATTAACATAATCATTTAATTCACATAAATTCACATAATCATTTAATTTGGCCCAAAAAACTCTTTGAATTCATCGTGCATATATATTTTATTTCTGTTTTGTAGTGATTGTTCCAAGATCACCTTGCCTGTCAAAGGTAGAGTTTAGCTTCATTCACTGTGAATCCTTTTTTCTTTCAGTTATGTTATGTCAATCAGAAATGTTAATTAGTGTTAGCAAATTATAATTTAATCAATTATGTTGATAAATCATTATAATTTTAAAAATAGTATTAATATTATTGATATTATAAAATTATAATGTTATTGAGGAATATGATTTGATTCTTAAAAATTGAACTTAGGTTTTTTTTTAATTTAACAGACATTTAGTGACTGCTTTTAGTATGTAAGAAGGCATTGGAATACCCAGATATTTTTCCACTATAATAACCATTTTATTATATATATGTATCTTATAATGTTGTAAACCTTAAATATACACATAAAATTTATTTTTTAAAAAACATTGAAAAAAAATTCAGAGGAATACCTGAATTTTCCTTAGGCCCAGATTAGACAAAAAGTTTAACATGAAATATGAGCTCACTTTTTTCTCTTGCTCATTAAAATGTAGGTCATAGCCGGGCTCGGTGGCTCAGCCTGTAATCCCGCACCTTAGGAGGCTGAGGTGAGTGGATTGCTTGAGCCCACGGGTTCGAGACCCGCCTGGGCAACTTGGCGAGACCTCATCTCTACAATAAATCAAAAAAATCAGCCGGGCATGGTAGCGCGTGCCTGTAATTCCGGCTATTTGGAAGGCTGAGGCGGAAGGATCGCCGGAGCCCAGCAGGTTGAGGCTGTGGTGGCCGGGAGCGGCCACTGCACTCCAGTCTGGGCGACAGAGTGGGACTCTAACTCAAAATAATAAATAAATAAATAATAAAAAATAAAAAATAAAATGTAGGTCATTTTTACACTTAGCCTAGAACTTATCTACATTATTTGTAAGAAGAGTTTCATGATTAAATTATCACGAAAATATAAAGGTAATTTAATAAAGCTACTTAAAAAGTGGAGCACCCAAAATTTATACAAATTTCAAATTATTCATTAAAGCTAGTCCACTTTACCCTTTACTAGAAACAATTTTTATTTGTCTATTTCTTGCTTAAAAGTAATAAGGCCAGGTGCAGTGGCTAATGCCTATAATCCCAGTACTTTGGGTGAGTGAAGTGAGAGGATTGCCTGAGCTCACGAGTTTGACACCAGCCCGGGCAACTTGGCAAGACCCCATCTCTACAATTAAAAAAAAAAAATAGCCAGCCTTGGTGGCATGTGCCTGTAGTTCCAGCTACTTAGAAGGATGAGGTGGAAGGATCGCCTGAGCCCAGCAGGTTGAGACTGCGGTGGCCATGAGCGTGCCACTGCACTCTAGCCTGGGCGACAGAGTGAGACTCCTACTCAAAAAAAAAAAAAAAAAAAAGTAATAAAACCAAATTCTTTTCTCAGAAAAACAAACAGAAATAGGTCCTTTAAAAATATGTAGAGTAAGGAAAGAATAGCAAATATTTTAAAATGCCTGCCTGGCTCATACCTGTAGTTCTAGCACTTTGGGAGGCTGATGTGGGAGATTTGCTTGAACTCTGGAGTTTGAGACCAGCCTGGACAACATAGCAAGACCTTGTCTCTATAAAAAATTAAAAATTAGGCTGGGTGTGATGACTCATCCCTGTAATTTCAGCATTTTGGGAGGTCAAGGTGAGAGGATTGCTTAAGCCCAGTAGTTTGAGACCAACCTGGGCAACATGGTGAGACCTCATTTCTACAGTAAAATTTAAAAAAATTAGCCAGATATGGTGACACATACCTGTAGACCCAGCTACTTGGAAGGCTGAGTTGGAAGGATCGCCTGAGCCCAGCAGGTCAAGGCTAGAGTAGCCGTGATGGTACCACTGCACTCCAGCCTGGGTGACAGAGTGAGACTCTGACTCAAAAATAAATTAAGTAAATAAAAATTTTAAAAATAAATAAATAAATTAGCAGGGCATCGAGGTGCTTGCCTGTAGTCCCAGGAAGCTGAGGTGGAAAGATCATCTGAGCACAGGAGATCGAGGCTGCGATGAGCCATGATCGTGCCACTGCACTCCAGCCTGGGCAACAGAGTGAAACACTGTCTCTAAAAAAAAGAAAAAGCCTTTACTAGCCTACATTTTCTACTTTCAAATCATGTTTTTTCTTTGAACCTTTAAACTTCAAAGTGTTTATGATAGCAGAAATGAATACATCTTTTGAAGTTTTAATTAAATGGATTTTGGTAGTATTTATATAAGCTTTAAATTCAAACACCTCCTCTCCATCTGTGACACCAAAATTAGCATACAATATTAATTCACAGTTGACGTTTGTCTTTTTAGAGTATTATTTGTTGGTTATTAGGGTGCAGGTGTTCAGCTGCTTGAAAAGTTTCCAAATTTATTTGCTGCTTCTCTCTAGAAGTTGGACATTGAGAGCAGGTGTTTAAGCATAACAGTAACCCAGTAACCGAACTCTCTACTGTAAATATGTGGTTTTAGCTGAGGTTTGTGCCGTTATTGTTGTACAATAACAAAAAGGTTTAAACTGATCCTTCTGAAGTTATTGTAATACATGGACTAAATGGTTGCAATGTATCAGCATAGAGTATATTAAAGGCTGAATTTCCTTCTTTGCTTTCATTTTAAAGTAGAACACCAGCAATTTGCCTTTTTCTTCTTTTTATAGCAGAAGAGTTCAAAGAGGGGGGCATATTAGATATACCACAGTAAACTCTTCAACAAATTGAGTATTTAATATTATTTGTGAGCAACTTTGAATAACCATGTTATGTGGTTATTGCAAATTTTGTTGCGAAGTATTTTGGTTGAGTACTTATAAGAAGCTAGACAAAGTTAAGTGTCTATATCATTATCTACATAGCATTAGGAAGCCATTTTCTAGATGTCTTGGTCCCAGTTGCTGTCATCAAAATCTGGCACTATTAAGCCGGGCACAGTGGCTCACGACCGTAATACCTTACTTTGGGAGGCAGAGGCAAGAGGATTGCCTGAGCTCAAGGGTTTGAAACCACCCTAGACAACTTGTTGAGACCTTGTCTCTACAATAAATAAAAAAATTAGCTGGGTGTGGTGGCGTGCACCTGTAGTTCCAGCTACTTGGTAGGCTGTGGTGGAAAGATTGCCTTAGCCAGGAGGTCAAGGTTGCAGTGGCCATGAGCATGCTGCTGCACTCCAGCCTGGGTGACAGAGTGAGACTGTGACTTTAAAAATAAAAAAGTTGATGCTATTAGATGCCAGAGATAGATTTGCATTCGAATTGCTTGTCTGCGATCTGAACGATATGTGGAAATATTCTTGGCAAAAAGAAACAACTATTAGTAAAGTTTTTGAATTACCAAATAATGAAATAATTACATTATGAAATTGTAAAGTATCAAATGAGAACATATAATGTTAAAGCAGTGGGTATTTTAAAAAATAAGACAAATATACAGATATAAAGTTATAAAGCTTTGTGTGTTTTAAAATCCTTTCAAATGACTGAAGATATGCTGTACAGCATGGTGATGATAGTTAACAATAGTGTATTGTCCACTTGTTATTTGCAAAGAGAATAGATCTTAAATTAAATCTCAGCACACATGCCTCCACAATGATAACTATGTAGCAGTAATTGATATATCAGTTAGCTCAATTGTGGTGAACATTTCACAATGTGTATGTATATCTTTTTTGTCTCCTTCTTCTTTTTTCCTTTTTGAGTCTGAGTCTAACTCTGTCGCCCAGGCTGGAGTGCAGTGGCACTGTCACAGCCACCACAGCCTCGACCAGCTGGGCTCAGGCGGTTCTTCTGCCTCAGTCTTGCAAGTAACTGGAACTACAGGATTATACCACCACAGCAGCTAATTTTTCTTGATTTATTGTAGAGATGAGATCTTGCCAAGTTGCCCAGGCTGGTCTTGAACTCCTGAGCTCAGGCAGTCCTCTTGCCTTGGCCTCCCAAGGTACTGGGATTACAGGCGTGAGCCACCGTGCCTGGCCTGTGTATGTATATCAAAACACAAGTTGTATACCTTAAATACATACAGTTTTATGTCAGTGATACCTTAATATTTTAAAAATCCTGTCAGTCCAGTAGTACCTTGAAAGAATGTTTGCAGCAGCAAACTATAAACTTGTAATGTTACAAACTTGTGTAATATCACAAACTTGCAATATTTCAAGATGACAAATCTTCAGTGCTTAAAACAATAATTGAATAGTGATGATAAAACTGTTTATTAGATGCATTCTGCCAGGTTTCCAAAAATGGAGGGTTTTTTTTCCCTCCAGTCTTTGTATTTCTGAAATTCCATTTGATGATATGACCATATTCAGCTCTGTGATGCCAAGTCGTACAGTGTAGAGTACATGAAATGAAATAAATTATCTAGCCCAGGCACAGTGGCTCAAGCCCATAATCCCAGTATGTTGGGAGGCCAAGGGGAGAGGATTGCCTGAGCTCAGGGGTTTGAGACCAGACTGGGCAACTTGGTGAGACTTCGTCTCCACAATAAATTAAACAAATAATAAACTGGGTGTGGTGGCGTGCGCCTGTAGTTCCTCCTACTTGGAAGGCTGAGGCAGAAGAATCACCCGAGCCCAGCAGGTTGAGGCTGCAGTGGCTGTGCACTGCACCCCAACCTGGGCGACAGAGTGAGACTCCAACTCAAAAAAAAAGAAAGAAAAAAATTATCTAAAGGTAGATTGTAAACATACTTGCTATAGATTAGTCCCTCAAGTATGATACCAACAGTAATGAATGTTAACATGGATTGAGCAGAACCCAGAACCCAGTACTGTGCTATACACTATATATGAATTATCTCATTTAATCTTCATAGCAAACCTGAATTGGTAAGTATTGGTGTCCCCCTCCAATTTACAGATGAGGAAATTGCATGACTTGACCAAGGCCACACACTTCATAGGCCTGATGACCCAGAACATGAACCCAACCAGTCGGACTTGAGGCCAGTGTACTTCACTTCTACATTGTGGTGTTAATAGTCTTTATTTGATTTCTTACAAGTCATAGTGCTAAAAGCATTATAGACAGTGATTAAGAACAGGAAAACTAGCCAGGTGCGGTGACTCATGCCTTTAATTCCAGCTACTTGGAAGGCTGAGGCATCAGGATCACCTGAGCCTAGCAGGTTGCAGCTGTGGTGGCTGTGAGCGTGCCACTGTACTCCAGTCTGGGCAACAGAGTGAGACTCTTGACTCAGAACACAAACAAACAAACAAACAAACAAACAAAAAACCAGGAAAACTAAGGGTAGCAGTGAGGATGGAATTTTGAAATATCTCTTGGCAACTTCATAGCTGCCATATTGGTTGCTATCAAAAAACTATCAGTGAAGTCTATAGATCTCAGTTCTGCTTATAAGTAATAGTATATCATTAATTTTGATCATAAACTAGATAATATTTCTCCCATTTTAAGCAATATGGCAACATTTTAATAATACTTCTGTGATTAACATAATTCATTTTTATATGACTGTATATGATATTTGATGTGGACATCTGGTGGAAGGTATAAAATAGCTTATTAAGTGATCAAATAATGCTTTAAGATCCTATTTTTAACTTTTTAAAACTATTTTATTCAGGTTGGTTTAACTTCCACAAATGCAGAACTAAGAGGATTTATAGATCAGAATCTCAGTCCAACAAAAGGTAAGGATCATTGAGTTAAAATTTTCTGAATTAAGCTAGTTTTATTTTGTTTATTTCATACAGGTACATGAATTACTTTATTTATAATTATAATTATATAATATTAGCATGTTTTCCCATACCAAATGACTTATGTTGGATGAAGGTCATTTTCCTCTGAGAAGCGGAGGGTTTTTGTGTGTGATTTTGCTCTTTCCAAAGAGGTCTCTAATCCTTTTTCAATGATCCTATCATAACTGAAACTGTTCAGACTGCTTTTTTCTCTCTTGAGAAATCTTTACTTTCAAGTAGTTTATCGTAAGGAAGTATAGTAGGGAAAATACATTTATATGTTTCCTATATATTTTTCTGCACACACATACACACACACACACACACACACACACACACACACACACACACACACACACACACACACACACACACACACACACAACTTCCTGCCAGGCGAGGTGACTCATGCCTCTAATCCCAGCACCTTGGGAGGCAAAGGCAAGAGGATTGCCTGAGCTTAGGGGTTCGAGATCAGCCTGGGCAACTTAGTGAGACCTCGTCTCTTCAATAAATCAAAAAATTAGCCAGGAGTGGTAACACGTACCTGTGGTTCCAGCTACTGGGAAGGGAGGCAGGAATATTGCCTGAGCCCAGCAGATCAAGGCTGCGGTGGCCATGAGCATGCCACTGCCTCCAGCCTGGGTGACAGTGAGACTCCAAAAAAAAAAAAAAAAAGGTTCCTTTGACTAATAAATGACTTACTGGGAAATACTTATATCAGAAACCTGGTCCACCAGTATAAGAATTTATGAGGAACAAGCAGTATCTTTCAATATGTCTCTTTGAACAGTATCTTTTAGTATGTAGACATGCATGTTGAAATATTTATAGATGGAATGATATGATGGAATGATTCTGAAATTAGCTTCAAAATAATCCACTAGGAGAAGGAGGCATTATAGATAAAAAAGTATTATCTGTAAATTGATTAATTGTTTAAGCTGGGTGATATGTGTGTGGGGTTTTATTATTCCTTTCTTTTTTCCTTTGCATATGTTTGAAATTTTCCATTCAAAGGGTAGAAACAAAATGTATGCCATTACAATACAAATAACTATGAGGGAAACATCAGTCCTCAAAGGGCTAAGGTAGAGTGAAGGCTAGAGAAATATGTGTTTCAGTATGAAAATATATAGCTTAATAATATTAATAGTTCATGGGAATTGTGTATCATGGAGTCATATAAGAGATACTTTAAGCCTTGATTCTCTTCCATTTTTTTCCCACCTGGTGATATGCATAGAAAATGATAACATTTGTGGGCTACACTAGGGCTAAACAAGATTTGGTTAAGGTCAGAGGTAAGCTATTTAGAAGCTCCAGCTGCCCCAGGCCACTCTCAGCTGCCCCGATGGCTAAGGGAATCAGTTTCTTTGTATACCCATTGGCTATTCACAGCACATGCTTGGGAATTTCTGTTGTAATAAAATGTAATATTCAGGTCAGGGGAAGGACTTGGGAACCACAGGCCTGGTAGACTTGGAAAACTATTATATTGATTAATGGGAGGGGGATGGAGTGGTGCAACAATCTGGAAAATAATAAGGGACAGGGCTGTGCACTTTGGCTCACACCTGTAATTCCAGCACTTTGGAAGGCCAAAGCAGGAGGATCACTTGAGACCAAGAGTTCGAGACCAGCCTGGGCAAAATAGCGAGACTCTGTCTCTATAAAAATTAAAATAGGCCAGGTTCAGTGGCTCAGCCTATAATCCCAGCACTTTGGGAGGCCGAGGTGAGTGGATTGCCTGAGTCCGCGGGTTCGAGACCAGCCTGGGTAACTTGGCGAGACCTCATCCCTACAATAAATAAAAAGTTAGTCGGGCTTGGTAGCACATTCCTGTATTTTCAGCCACTTGGAAGACTGAGGCGGAAGGATCACTGAAGCCCAGCAGGTCGATGCTGAGGTGACCGACCGTGAGTGTGCCACTGTACTCCAACCTGGGCAACAGAGTAAGACTCCAATTTAAAAAAAAAGGTAAAATAAAAATTTAAAAAAGCAAGAGACAGGATAGCAAGTCATAAAGGAGAAAGGTGACATTGAAAAATGCCTTCAGTCCAGCACTTTGGGAGACCAGGCGAGAGGATTGTCTGAGCCCAAGGGAACGACCAGCCAGGGCAACTTGGCGAGACCATGTCTCTACAATAAATCAAAAAAATTAGTTGACGTGGTGACATGCACCTGAAGTTCCAGCTATTTGGAAGGCTGAGGCGGAAGGATTGCCTGAACCCAGGTCAAGGCTGGGGTAACTGTGAGTGTTCCACTGCACTCCAGCCTGGGTGACAGAGTGAGACTCTGACTGAAGGAAAAAAAAAGAGAAGAAAAGAAAAATGCCTTCAGGCCAGGTACGTTGATTTATGCCTGTAATCCCAGCACTTCGAGAGGCCAATGTGGGAGGATTGCTTGAGCTCAGGAGTTTAAGACCAGCCTAGGCAACATAGCAAGACCTTGAGACCTTGTCTCTACTCAAAATCTATAAAGTTAGTCAAGTATGCCTATAGTCCAGTTACTTGGGGATATTTATGAAGACTGTCATGATTGAGCCACTGCACTCCAGCCTGGGTGACGGAGTAAGACTCAAAAAATAAAAAAGATAATAAAAATACCTTTAAAAGAAAGAAAACAAAAAAAGAGAATGAGGGTTTAAGTGAGGAAGGTTGTTTTTGTCGGTAGAATAGACATCTGAGGGTAAGTAAGCTAGTTATAAAATTCAGCCCTGGACAGGTGAACTATCAGTGAAGTTTAGAGTAAAACCTTCTCTGTTTAACTTTATAAAATAAATGGAGAAGATGGAGACAGAGAATCATTTAAGAAAGTTTGGACTAGAGAGATCTGGTTTAGAAATAGCTATACGGTGTTTTTGTTTGTTTGAGATGGGACTCTTACTATGTTGCTCAGGTTGGTCTTGAACTCCTGGACTCAAGCAGTCCTTCTGCCTCAGCCTCCCAATCAGCTGGGCCTGTAGGTGTTCACCACTGTGCCTGGCTTAAACAGCCCTGTTTAAAGAAAATTGTTACTATCCCTTGAGCTGATGACAGTAGGAGAAGCTTCACATTAAATGAGTCAACAGGATTTGGAAAAGAGATTTCTAAAATTATTTTTGTAATTGGTGAAATTCAGTGAATATTTATTACAGGCCCAAGACAGGAGTTGTATTGGAAGTGAGACGTAGAAAAGCATTTTTCTTAATTGAAATAATGGTGTGATAATGGTATCAAAACTTTGAAAAATAGGAAAAAAGTCTACCATTCTAACATAGTCTTTTCTTTTTGTTTATTATTTTTCATTGAATATATACATTTGTGTTTTAAAACTACAAAGCTAGTATATAGTTTTCTGTTTGCTCTTTTTTTTTTTGAGTTGGAGTCTCACTCTGTCACCCCGGCTGAAGTGCAGTGACACGCTCACAGCCACCCTAGCCTTAACCTGCTGGGCTCAGGTGATCCTTCCATCCTAGCCTTCCAAGTAGCTGGAACCACAGGTGCGTGCCTCCACGCCTGGCTAATTTTTTTGATTTCTTGTAGAGCCCATGTCTCGCCATGTTGCTCAGGCTGATCTGAAACTCCTGAGCTCAGACAATCCTCTCGCCTCCACCTCCCAAAGTGCTGGAATTATAGGCATGAGCTTCTGTTTTGTACCCAGCTTCTGTTTTGCTTTTTGTCTAAATCAAAAAAAATCACTCTCCATGTTTTGACAGTCTTCATAAATACCATTCTTATAGCTGCATGCTATTTCCTTGTGTTTGTGAGTCATAATTTATTGAACTTTAAAAATTTTATTATTGAATATTGTAGTCCTTTTTGTTGTTTTTTATTTATGATACATATAAAGTGTATAAAGTGCTGGGATCACAGGCTGAGCCATCACACCTGGCTGACACTCTTATTTATGCCCACTATACTTCAGCCACACTGATATTTCTTTTGGAAAGCGATTTGAATTTTGGAAGTTGATTTCTTTAGGCTATGTAACTAAGCTTTAAAAAAAATCTATATTAAAGCAGTAATATTAAATATAAAATGACAAATCATAATTATGCCTTTGGTTTTTAACATTTGACTCTGATGTGCCTAGGCATAGTTTTCTTTGTATTTATTTTGCTTGGGGTACACTGAACTTCTAAAGTTATGTCTGAATTTGAGAAAATTTTTGCTATTACAGGTGCAGTTTTTTCCCTTACCTGTTCTACTCCTCTCCTTCTGGGACTTTAATTTCATGTATGTTATATCTTTTGCTGCTGCCCTGTGGGTCCCGAAGTTAGGTTCATTTCCCCCCTCACCATTTCCCTCTGTGTTTTTCACATTTGATTTTGTATGATCTATCTTCAGTTAACTTTTTTTTTTTCTGTTATCATCATTCTGTTAATCCTGTCCAGTGATGAAATACACATGCAGTATTCAGTACAGTAACATGCTATACAGCTTTACAGCATAGGAGCAATAGGCTATACCATAGAGACTAGGTATATAGTAGGTTAGACCATCTAGGTTTATGTAAGCACACTCTATGAAGTTTGCACAACAATGAAGTCACTTCACAACACATTTCTCAAAACATATGGCTGTATATATATTGGTCCCTGGCACTGAGCTCCAAAAACCCTTGTAATTTCCTGAGCTATAGGCATGCTTGAAGAATCATTTGTTCTCTGCCCTGATTCCTGAGACTCTTGTAGATAGTAGAATCTTTTGTTCTAATATTTGGTCTTTGATCCCGGTTCTTAACACAGAACTCCCAAGACCTTTGAAATTTCCTAGTGATAGGAGCATCTGATACAGAGCTCTTAAATCCCTTGGAATTTCCTGAGTGATAGGAGTGTCTTTTGTTCTAGTAAGGGAACTCTTGGAGGGCTCCTGGATTGGGGCTGGTCACCAGAAAGACCAAGTCATGATCGTAAGCTTGGAACTTTCACCCTGCCTTTTGTTCATCGGAGATGGAAGAGGGCC